CTGGTTGGATTTGGTCAAGCATGGCTCTTGCCGCAAGTCGCGCTGTGGAAAGCCTAGAAGTGATCCTATATGTCATATCCTCAAGTGTTTGAAGTTTGAAGTACTCAATTGTACGTTAGCGATTTTACAGAATGCATCAGACCTAATTACCTATCAAAATCCGCGATTCTTGGCTTCATCACGGCGCTGGGTCCACGCTTCTGTATGGGGCCCGACGTGGCCCGGCCACCTCTCTGCCAAGCCACGATGGCCGGACCCAGCTCCGCCAGCAGGGTGTGGTAGCGGACCGGTGGACTGGAGTTCGGCACCGTGGTGAGTTCCTTGGGCGAACGACTCTGGGGCTGCTTGGATGGCTTGGATCCAGATCAGGTGTGATGAGAACGCATACATGGCTGGCATAGGTTTTGCACGTTTTTTCCCCCATCCCAAAAGCAAAGGATGGGACAAGGGGGTGGCCGATTCATGAATCAAGAGTCGATTGGATTGACCACCGACCCAAGGTGAGAAATTTGTTGGAACTGTGCAGTCGCTAGGGAAAAGAACTGTGACTTGAGCGAGATCTGGGCTCTTTCGTTATATGTTTGACTTTATGTTATTCGTTCAATGTTCTTATTTGTGATATTGTACACATTTGCTAATTCTGCATTATTTCAAGATTTTCCTATCTGTGACACGCTCCAAAAAGTAAGAAAATGTCCTTTGGCCAACATCTCAACCGAACCCAGCGCAATAATCTTGCGCGTGTGTCGAGGTGCTCTGCGCTCGGCGTTAGCAAAAACTTGGAAGTCGGAGTCAAAGTCGTACACCTTCGGCAAAGAGCCTCCTCGGAGCTGTCCTGCTGAGTCCTCCAAACATCACAATCCAAGTGTCATGACAACTTGTGGAGAACATTGGGCTATAGCCGCCTACAGCTAATGCGCTATCGATGATGGGAGAAACATGTCAAAGGTGAAGCGTAGCTAATTCGAAGGTGAAGTGTGGCGGGGATTTGAGCCATGCCTTCTCATCCTGCTTCTATCCCCTTCTCATTTATAGAACTTGTCCTAATGCGCAACGCGCGTTTGTACCCTCTTCTGTGCCTCGCTTTTGGCCTGCCTGATTTAGAGAATTCCTCCACAAAAGCAAGAAAGACGGGTAGCTCTGTAGCTTGAAACAAATCGAAGTGCATATACCTTGAGTCTCCAATGACCCTTTTAAATTTGCCTTTCCAAGAAAAAGAGGTTTTTGAAAGAAAGCACTCTTTTTTGCATATGTCACGAAATGTTCCTTTTTTGTTTGTGCCCTGTCAGATCCTACTTAGACAGTGTCCTGAGACCTTTTTTCGGCGTCCAAAACGCGTCTTTTTGCGTCCAAAAGGCGTCTTTAAGCGTCCGTGCCGGACGCGTCCGGATGAAGATTCACTCTGCACCTTTTTTTGAGTCCTCATCTCCAAAAACGCGTTTTTCGAGCACAAACGCAAAAATATTAGACCAAAAACAAAAACGCAGAAAAAAAAGGTCTTTGGAGACTCAAGGTAGTTATTCCCACTAGCTTCTCAACTTGAAAACGCTGCTGAACCCCGTGAGCCCTGTGTTACTTCCTGGTTCATCTTACCGACTTCGTTGGAAACAAATAATGGAATATGATGGAATCATATGGCACAACAGATTTGACGGAAAAAAGCACGCCAAGCGGCCGTCTTCGAAGAACACAAATGAACACAATCAAACATGTGACGTCACCACGATTCACCACGATTCACGTCACGACCCAAATCATAAAACGTTGGTCGAAACCTCCGAAGATGCACCGGCTCCGCTCATCCCACCCGCGGCGCACTGCGCGCGGCGCGCGGCGCGCGCGGCCCTCCGCCTTCAAGGCTTTGGTCACGAAGGTCGCGCCGCAGGTCACCCGAGCCACGAAGCAGTAGAAAACGTCGTGTCCTGGCCGCGTTCTTCACTTCCCGAAGCACGGCTGGAAGGGCTCGAACGGATGCGGTGCTTCGATCCGGACGAAGGGGTGTGGTGGTCCGGTGTGTGTGGTGGTCCGGTGAGTGGGTCGTTTCCGGTGGAGACTGGCCACCGGAAGAGCAGGATGGTGAATGTTCTGCGCAAATTGCACTAAAACATCATCAAACATCGATTTGTACACCCAGTCAGCGGCCTAGTCTACACAAACTTAATAAGAGAATGGAGCAAGTTCGTAGAAATAAGTTGAACTTTCGTAGGGAATTGGTCTCCACTAGCGGATTGCATGTTGCATCATCTTGCAGTGCTGGTCTCTTCCAGGCGGAAACTCTCTACCAGAGCTGTCGCCCAGCATCAGGTCGATGGTCGGCTCAACTCTCCTGGATGTTGATGTCCACCCGGGCGGTACAGGCGCGAATGCACATCTTCCAGCCCAGGGCTCTCGTAGCCCGGATCGGGCCGGGTGTACTGATCAATCTTCTCCTGTTTGGCAGAACGGCTTGCCAAGGAGTCAACGAGTGGATTTCATAAGACATGCTGGTTCCCTTGGAGTTTTGTTTGCTTGCAAGAACTTACATGATAGTAGATGTGGCTCTGGCTCCATGTAACCGCCCACGTCTCTATTGTTTCGTCTGAAGGCACCACAATGGCACAAGTCTTGGAAGGATCTGGCTCCAATACTTGTGGTGAATGCATGGCTACACGGTTAGTCAAACCTCTGGCAAGTATACAACATCCAGTGACCGACTTGATTAGTTGCATGGTCTGGGTAGAAATGGGTCGAATCACTGCTCCCCAAGTCTCAGAGTACCTGAACCAGTGGAATCTCATCTCGAATTAAACATACATTCAGTCTTCTTCGAGCAGCTGGATCTTCAGCAAAGTAGGCGCCAGCTCCGAACCTCAAGTTGGTTGGTGGAAGAAATATGAAGAAATGGTCCTGTTCCCCGTTCTTCGGGTTTGGTGTCGTCTGCTGTTGTTGCTGCTAATCTATTTGGTCTTCCATGTCTTGCTACAAATGGTTCACCACTTGGACTATGATAAACCCACTCTTGAGAGCTCAAACAGCCAGTTGTGGAGTTGCAAAGGTGATTTCCCACGCAAACACCGGTGATTCATCAACACTCAATCGTGTTGCCAAGGGTTCAGCCCGGTTGCCTGTGACATCTCCATCGTATAAGAACCTCATCCAGTCCGAGAAACATCCCTTTTGAACTTGCAAGCTTGTCGTTGAAACCTTGATCCAGGATGTGCAGCAAGTGCTCTGGCAGCGTTCCGTGCAAAAGGTATTTCTCGCCTTGGTTCGGAGAGACCATCAAATCAACATGGCAACCAGCTGGTGCACGCTGAGCTTGGTGATTAAAGGTGACTGGCTTGATCTGTGGCAAGGTGGCCGTGTGTCACTGTGTCACTTCGGCCGAGAAAGAAAGAGCTAGAGTGAGCGCCTCAAAGAACATCATATAAAACGCTACAAAAAGAACCATATCGCATATATATATATATAGCACCTTAAATAACATCATATAAACAGCACTATTTAAAACAAAAAACAGCTATATAGCGTCCGGACGTCCATGCTGAAACACCGGTGATTGAGGTATAAGACCTCAGCGTCTGGACGCCTCGGTGAATCGACCCCTCCGACCCTGCTGGCGGCCTTTGACCGCAAAGGCCCTGCCATCTTCTCAGCGTGTCGGGTCAGAATTTTCACATCACTGCGTGAGTCATCAGCATGTAGTGAGTGTATTAGTCTTTTCTCCATGTCCATCACACTATCGTTTTGGTGAGTGGGTGAGTGTGCCATTGTTTGTCAAAGCGGCTAATGCATTTTGAGATCCTAGTGGCCCTAGCTCTAGCTTTTGCTGACTGATATCCTACAAACAGCTTTTGAACGGTCTCGAGGCCAAAGGTCAATTTTCACACAAGTTGACAATGTGAAGATCGTCCAGTCACCAATGGGCGCACACAATTCATCTGGCATTCCAGCTGAGGCATCTTCCAGTTTGCTCTTCCAAACTGATGTCTCTATGGAGTCTCTCTCAAGCCGCTGCAAATTTCGCAGCACATCCTAAGTGCTGAACAACACATGCAAACAAGCAATCAAACTGTCTGATCAGTCATCTTTTGAATTTGCACGCACAACCCGGAGGTTCATTGAAGGTTTCCCCTGGCAGGCGACCAGGATCCCCGGGAGAAATACCAAGTGCAGCAGCAAACGTCCATCGAATACCCTCTTTAAAGATCAGTCAGTAATGGGCCATGGGTGAAAAGAAACCGAACATACAATCCTCTAGTAAGTGCTGGGGATGTTTCTCTCTAGCTCTGCAATTGCCACATTTCATGGACATGGGAAATTGTATTTTTAGCACCTCCCTTCCAATTAAGGCAGCTCATGCAGCCAATGGCTGAGATTGCTCAGGACTCTGGAGACTCTCCTTCACACAAAACCCATTTTCAACCCACAACGAACTTGAAGGACAAGTCCTCCATCCCGCAGGACCGAGCATCATTGCGCTCAGCCATGTACTTTTCCCAAAGGTTGTGATGTTCAATCTGCCAGGCGCTCCATAGCCTCACTAAGACAAAGTTAAAACAAATGTGTTTGTTCATCCATCTGCCCTAAAATATAGTGGGGGATGTTCGCCTGATTCCTCTTGAGGTTCTTTGATTTGACCGACACCCACATGCCTTAGCTAAATGATATTGATCGGTGAGTGGCAAGTGCATTGCTGTCTTGGTGCCACAATCCAATCGTGCCATGATGGCGGTTGGGTTTGCGAAGGATGATGCATTGAACCCGAGTCAACCGACAACTAAGAACCTTTGACGTGCTCATTTGGCCCAAGGTTTGGAAACTGGCTGGGGACAGAAACCATGGGTTGTGTAAATGGGGGGGCCACAAGAATCCAATTAACAGCATGACGACAAACTCACAAAGAGTTGGGATTTCAACTTGAGTAGTGAAACCTCAACATATATAATACAGAACATTACAGAACCCAAGCCCGCAAAAAGGCATGATTTTGGAACAGTTTCAACTTATCTATCGTTCCGACCTCAAGTCAATTTTGAATCATCCCCATCAAAATCCTTCCAAACCATCACGACATGACCTGCAGCACCACAACCTGCACAGTCACAGTCCGGGCCGCTGAAGGTTGCTGTACCTCCGCGGGTACTGGCCGGCGTCGCGGCCTCTGCCCAGATCCTGCGGCTGCGTCACCACGAAGAGCCGCCGCAACGCTGCAAAGGTGGGCGCCGCCACGGGGATCGCGGCCCAGCCTGCGAGAGAAGGAGGGGTTGGTGGAATATTTGGAGGATCTCTGGATAGGCTAAGCACCTCGGACAAGAATAATCTCGAATTTGAAGGTACTATGCACCTCTTTCTCACTGAAATTTGAGAGGGCACATGATCATTTGGTAAAGACATTATTGATATAGAGTCCTGTCATGCATCATACATTTATCGATCTCTTAGGACACTTCACGGAACAAACACATGTGCATCATACACAGACCGGTAAATGAGTTGAAAAACTTAAAGTACTTTTGTTTCCCTATAGGGATCCAAATACCTTCTCAGAAGGTACTTGGACCTTCCAAACATTTCCAAACCTACGTAACAGTGCCTCCAATCACCTTCTGAGAAGGTACTTGGATCCCTACGGTTTATATAAATCGATCCTTTTCTGGTGACATCTGCCCCGCCGATCGCCTTTTCGATTTGACCACTCAGCTGGGCCATGGGATCGCTCGATTCGCCGGAGCCGCACGTGTCGCCGTTTCCCACACCGCGGCCGTTTGGAGGTCCAAACAACGCCCAGCCGCCGTCGCCCAAAACGACCGGCGTGGCCTTGCTCCAGGTCCTCGCCCCTGCCCGACCAATAGCCGGGCACCGCCGTGGACAGCTGCGCGGGCAGCTTCCGCAGCTTCAGGTGCTTCGGCAGCGCCGCGAAGCGCGGCCGGGCCGCGGGGTCTGGAGCCCAGCAGTCCTCACGCCACAGGCGGTCGCTCGGTGTGGGTTGGAGCTTGCCCCACCCATCAGTTGAATTCATTACATACTGATCGGTAACTTATATATGGCCACTTGCCACACTATCTGGAAGATGAGATACTAGATCCTTCTACAATATTCCACATACACCAACTTCCACAATCACCAACTTCCACTCTGATGCTTGCATCCACCTTGCCACAAGTTTGCAAGACTCTGGCCATTCGCAGTGTCTGAAGTTCCTTGATGATTTTACCCAAGACCGTCTTCGCATTCTGCTCGTCCATGTGAGGACGTTCGTGATCAAAACCAACAGCTTTCATGATCTGAAAGTCCGTCCGCCTGCGGCGCGTTTCTGCAGCGTGGACTGCGGAGTGGACTTAAGTCATATAATTTATGTTAATTCAGGTAACGCATACATGTTTATTGATGATTTTTGATGTCTATAGGCAATAGGAGTCTGCGGTCTACCCTTGACGGTGACTCCGAGTGAGGTGCATTTAAACAAAACCCATGGCACAGCACTGCTAAGTCTGGCCGAGTGACCCTTCCCAGGCTCGCTGGCCAGTGAGAATCTCGAAGCAAACCACGCCGAAGGCGTAAACCTGTCGCCACGCGTCTGACTAAGTCAGTCTTCCCTCTCAGGGTTACGCAGGGGTCAGGACCTCCCAGGAATTGTTCCGCGGAAACAACAAATGTTTCAATGCTACAATTCTTGAGTAGTTGTTGTACAAACCCCTTCTCTTGTTGTACGTACGTACTGTATTAGTCTTTTCGGCGGGGGGCCACTAGCGGACATGAACATCTCACATGGGACGCGAACATCAGAGACTGAAAAACACAAAATGCATTCCCCTGCTGTACCGAACCAAACGGAATCTGCTGTGCCACCTCTGAGGCTGCCTGAAACTGTCCGTCGAAGATCTCAGGCGCTTTGTAGGCCAAAGCGCCCACACCATGGCCGCCGTTGAAGCCAACGTCCTAACAATGACCACGCGAGTGCCCAAGGCCATCAGCGAGTGCACACTTGAGTGTCCATGAGTGCCCTTATCACTTCATATCACTTCTCTAACTTGGATCTTTGGATTTCTCCTCCTTGGATCTTACAAGCGTTACATGATCTTACCTATTCAACAACTTGACCTCACATCCTATATAACTCGCACCCGGGACACTCCGAATTCCAGGGGCCCTGACGCTTCGAACTCACCTCGCCCGGGTGCACCTGTTCACCGCCCTCCCCCCACCCAGCCATCAGCCGTCACCAGCCACAGCTCTGAACTTCTGCAGTTCGAGAGTCGGTGATCTTGGGGATCAACTTGGAAGCGGATTCGAAGATGAGGACGTTCTCCGGTTTCAGCTCTTGGTGCAGAATCGGCTCTGGAAGATCGTGCAAACACCTTGGCATCATCTCAATCTGAACATTCATGAGGTCTGAAGAGTCCTCCACAGACCGCTAGAGCCGCTAGAGGTCCGTGACAGCTGGATGAAAACCCGAAAACACACAACTGAACCCTGTGACAAGGAAGCAGTCGACATAATCGACTAGCCAATCGGAGCAAAGACGCGCCATGGCTGATGCAATCCCATGCGCCAACGGCAAATGTTGCTGCTGAGCCAGTGAAGGTTGTGCTTGCAGCAATTGTCGCAAACACCTGGTGAACGTCGACACTTCAGAAACAAAACTTTGGCAACATGGCACCAAACATGGCAAAGGCTCCTTCCCACTGCCAATGTAGCTTCGCGCAAGCAGGCAGGTCACAAACACGATTCTCTGAATAAACGTGTCGCTGGACACTCCTCCACCCTTCCCTGCAAGTCGTGGACACAATGCTAAGTGATAGCCCACCTGGGAGCAGGCTCGGTGACTGTGCAAATCAAGGCCCCCTCGAACAAGATGTCCAGAATCTTTACGAGGTTGTCATGCCGAACCTCCTGGCAGCCAGTTCATGCTTATTCCAACACCCCTTCCAGATTCACAGGCGAATGAAGCATTAAGTGGACGATGTGCCATGGAAACCAATGTGTAAAATTATTTCTCTCAGCACGTCCTGTTCTTTTTGAACGCGAGCAGCTAGTGAAG